TTTTTATATAATGAATGTGCGGTCAACTAAAGAGGCCATTTATAAACGGAAACCAGACAAAAGGCCATATACACCTACTTCGGATGATCATTATAGCAGGCTAGAGGTATTTCAACTGTTATTGTTTTTGCATTTGCCTATTATAAGATAAATTAAATCAAAAGCATGAGCACTTACTGTTCAATTAATAGAAACTCATTGTCTTAGCCCACCATTTTCTTTTATTCTATTGATACCACCTCTTAGGTGTGGTTTCCTTCACTTATATAAGCACATCCTTTTATTTATGTATAGTGGCTTACCTCAGAATTCTTACCCTACCTTAAAGAGTGGGAAGAGTATGTCAAATCCTGCACTGATAAAACAGCAAGGGAGCATAAGAGAATGTGTATTGCAAGAGAAACAATCGAAGGGCTGAGAATAACAGGTAAGAGCACAATTTGTTAATGTAAGTTTACTAGTTTTATTATTCACAGTAACTTCATTTGTTGAGTTAGTAGAATACATATTTTCAAACATAGAAGGTGTCAAAATATTTTTCAGTGAAAGATTAACACAGGATCCAGTTGAGGCTTTTTTTGGAAGACAAAGAATGAGAGGAGGTTATGCCACCAACCCTACTGTACACAATCATTTTTACAAGGCACAGTGTCATTGAGAGCTCAGCGTTCTGTTGGACTCAAACCTATAAGAGGTAACTGTAAAAGGGGAATAGCATACACTGATCCAGAAGTTGATGACACTCCTTTGCCTAAACGACCTAGGAAAGGTTTCATATGATGACATTATAAATTTTCAATTATTGCTTTGTTTACATTTTTGATTACACATATTAACATAAGAACTTGATATTATTGTGAGTTTACATTACACAAATTGTCACTTTTACGTTTTAGTTCCTTTCTTAATGATTTGGTTCCTTTTATTGTTGTTTGCTTCACTCTCTTGTACTCTTCTACATACATAGCTGCTAAAGCAAACCCTCTAATAGTCAAAAATAGTTTGGCAATTTTCTCAATTACTGCTCTAGCAATATCGTTTGGAGTTTATAGTGACCAATAGAATAGAACATCATCATTGGAACTTATTGATGCAATGGCTCCCTTTTTCCCCACACTGTCCTTGATTGGCTTGTCTATTGATCCTAGTATCTTCCTTGTGATGATTTCCATTGACTTAAAAACTAAATACACATCATCACTGATGATGTACAACCCTCCACGATTTATTTTTTCTATCCATGCTTTTGTGTATGATAGGTAGTCATCATGATCATCATCTTCGGTTGTCAAATTGTTAAGGCACACGACTATGTCTTTATTCTGAGGTGAATGTGAATTCTTCTTGATTAATGATCTGATTATAAAACCAGCAACATAACAAAGTGCATTCTCTTCATCATCTGTCAATGGTGGCGAGACAGTAGTGGTTGTTGCAGCTGATGGATACTCAGTTTGTACCATAATTTCAAAAGAAATTTGGTAGATATGTACTGCAATAGCAATGGTTCACTTCTGTACTTATCAGGAACTTTTGTAGCATTACAAAAACTGCCCCATATATCTGGCAATTTAGTAAGTCTTGCATGGTGAAAGGAGGCCCACAGCTTGTCTTTAAAGGATTTGCAGGTGGGATCTACATCATGAACAGAATAAACCACCTTTTGAAGTACTTCTTGAAGCTCCTGTGCGAAGGTATCAAATGAGTCAGTTTGAATTAGATAGGAAGCACATTCTTTAACCAATAGTGCTCTGTCTGTTCCTGTTTTCCACATATCATCATCTTCAATGCCAGCCAAAATCATCCTAAGTACTCCAGAAGACATTCCTACACGTTTTAAGAGTAAACGGATAATAAACGGAATAGCAAAAAGAGCATTAACATTGATATTTAAAGGGCGTTTCCAATCCATTTTCCCGTCTACTATCTCTGTTTACATGTACATGTACATGTACTTGTCGTCATACATGTGAAGGTTTCCCACAGGATTTAGCATGGTCCTCATGCATGCAGCTTCTTGTCAAGTTTCTCAAAAATTGGGCCAAATACTCTGTACAGGGTTTTATGACAAAAAATGCAAAAAAAGACTTCACCTTTTTATAAATTTTTCTGATATGTATACATGTCCTTGTGCTGTGTATTAACTTTGAGATGATTCTGATTAAATTTAAATTTTTATGAAATTTTAAAGTTGCTTCAGTAAAATGCTATGTACGTGTACTGTTGTAGTGCTTGTCAGTTCATGTAGTTCATGTTGTTTAGCTCACTTAGCATGTTTTGTGGGAAACCCTGATGTACATGACATGTACACGTACACGTACAACCCAAATTACCCAATCTTGAATTTATTATAAATTGATTCTTTTCAATTACTTATTGTAGGTGTCAGGTAATGAACTATTAGTATCACCAGTTCACCATAGCAACCAGTCTAGTCTCGCCACGCCCCTTCGCTACCTGCGGAGGAAGGGTCTGGAGACACTCGCAGTAAAAAGCTGTGCTATATGCAGAGAAATCCACGTCCCAATCAGATTGCTCGAACCACGTGTAAGACAAGTAGTCATGTGACCGAAGAGCTCTGTTTAAGACAAAAGAAGAAGAATGAGGACCAAATAAAGGCTGGAAGGAGCCTGTAACACTCCCTGGACTTCTTTCTCAAAGTTTAAGAGCAGCATTATTATGCTGCTTACTACAACGACGCCATGGCACTTATGACGTCATAATAATGTCACGTGTTTACAATAAAACGTCATCAATAAAAAGTAAATATTATGGCGCTCTGTAAAGAGCTGCTGCTCTCAAATCTGCAAGAGCCAAGAGATGTCCAAGAGGCTTTATTCTTGTCTTCTTTTAGCTGCAAAGCATCTCTTTCAGCTGTTTTGACTGATCTGGTCTTCTCTGTCACATGATGTAGAGCCAACCACGTGGTTTTCTTTGCACACATTTTTACCGTGAGTGTCTCCAGACCCTTCCTCCGCAGGTAGCGAAGGGACTACAACCAGTCATGATCAGACCCTCCTACCACTAACTCAAGTCTCATCTTTCTCTCTAAAAACCACACCCTCTTTTATTATTCTATACTGGGGATCATACTGATATTAATTTCTGGAGTATAATATCAAGAATAAAGCTGATTACTAGTAATGTTACTATACAATCAGCATCATTGGTTGAAGGGGGTAATGCTATCGACTTTATGATGTTACAATTAGAAGATACATCCGCAAAATACTGCACTTGCGTCTGGTGGAGGGTGTGTCTTTCTGATCGTCTCGGGTCCAGTAATATTGAAGTTGTTTCTCAGACCCAGCTGTGTAGATTCAAAGGGAATATTGTACTGTTATACAGTGAATATATCAATGAATGCTTACTGTTGGTATCAGAATCAGTACCAGGAATAGATAGAGAAGAGAAGGAGGTGAATGAAGACAAGGAAGGTGATTGGAACACCAATCAAGATACAATGGAGTATAATAGAGGGACTGCTAGTACCAGCTGGAATCAATCAAGCAGTGATATTAATATTAGTATAATGATACCAGAAGATGTTAATAAATCAGATATAGTATGTATAATGGAGAGTACCAGTATCAGTGTTGGTTTAAGTGATGGTACAACATACATTAGAGGAGATTTATTATACAATATTGATGAATGTACTAGCACCTGGACCTACTCTAAAGGAAAGTAAGTGATTTATTTATTTATTGTATTTTTAATTTATTATTATTCTTTTATTTATTGTACATTTCTTGTTTATTATTATTATTATTATTATTTATTTATTTATTTCTTTATTCATTTATTATATTTTTGTTTTTTGTTTTTTACTATTATCTATTAATTAATATCAAAAATAATTATTTTATTATTTTCATAGATTGGATATTATGCTGGAGAAGATGGCTGATGATGTTGAATGGAGTTCATTATTTAAAGATGGTTCGTTTCTGCCGTTAGATGATGAATCAAAAGAAATAAAGAGAAAAAGAGTAAGGGAACCTAAAATAATGATACATGAAAATATGTCAAATGAGCAATGAACTAATTATAATGCAGTTACATGTTAATAATGTACAGCGTACACGTAACATAAGTAATGTATACATTTATCAGAATATGTAATAAGATTGAAGAATTCTTTCCTTTTAAATTTTGCACATGTACAGTGTACATGACATGTACACATGTGTGTCACTTCAGATCCTGATATTACCATCTTCAGACAGTGTCCCTGAAGACATTGCTGAATTTGATTTGCCGTTTTTTAAAACAGTCAGGCTGGGTTTCCCAAAAGATTTGGCGTGCATGTAGTTCTCATGTAGCGTCTTCTCAGTAGATTGTCAAGTTTCTCGAAATTGGCCAAAGACCCTTGTATTTTGAATTTCAACAAAAAATTGCAAGGAGAGAATTTTCATTTTAATGTTTTTTTTCTGATGCATATATATGTACTTATGTTGCGTGGAAAGTTTAAGCTGATACCGATCAAATTTAGATTTTTTATGAATTTTAAAATTTGCTCTAAAATTGTGCCAAAGTCCCTGTACTATACAACAGGGTCATTTGCTAAATTTTGCCAAGGATGAAAAGAGGAGAATTTTTCATTTTTATATTATGTTGATACATATATATGTAGTTATGTTGTGTAGAAAGTTGAACTGATTCCGATCAAATTTTGAATTTTTTTTCAATTTTTAAATTTGCTCAAAAATTGTGCCAAAGTACAGGGTCATTGGCCAAATTTTGCTAAAAATGAAGAAGGGAGAATTTTTATTTTTTATATTTTTTTCTGATACATGTACATATATATCTAGTTATGTTGTGTAGAAAGTTTGAACTGATTCCAATCAAATTTTGAATTTTTTTTTTAATTTTTAAATTTGCTCAAAAATTGTGCCAAAATCTCTGTACTATAGTACAACATCATTGGCCAAATTTTGCCAAAAATGAAGAGGGGAGAATTTGTAATTTTTATATTTTTCTGATACATATATATGTACTTATGTTGCATAGAAAGTTTGAGTTGAGCTGATTCTGATCAAATTTAGATTTTTTGAATTTTTAAATTTGCTCAAAAATTGTGCCAAAGCCTCTGTACTATAGTACTGGGTCATTAGCCAAATTTTGCCAAAAATCAAAAGGGGAAATTTTCCAGTTTTATATTTTGTTCTAATACATATATACATATAGTGTAGAAAGTTTATGCTGATTCCGATCAAATTTAGATTTTTATGAATTTTAAAATTTGCTCTAAAATGGTGCCAAAGTCCCTGTACTATGTAGTACAATTTTGCCAAAAAGGAAGAGGAGAGAATTTTCTATTATTTGATACATACATGTATATATGTAGTTATGTTGTGTAGAATGTTTAAGCTGATTCCAATCAAATTTTGATTTTTTTTTAATTTTTAAATTCGCTCAAAAATTGTGCCAAAGTCCCCGTACAGGTCGTAAGCCAATTTTTGCCAAAAATGAAGAGGGGAGAATTTTCCATTTTTATAATTTTTCCTGATGTGTATACATGTTCTGATGTTGTATATCTAGTTTGAGCTGATTTCAATTAAATTTGGATTTTTTAATGAATTTTTGAAGTTGCTCCAAAATCAGGCCAAAGTCCCCGTACTATAGTACAGGGGTGGGGGCCAAATTTTACCAAAAATGGCTAGGTAAGAATTTTCCATTTTTATAATTTTTCCTGATACGTATGCATGTTCTGATGTTGTATATCTAGTTTTAGCTGATTCCGATTAAATTTGGATTTGTTATGAATTTTAAAGTTGCTCTAAATGTCATTTACTGTATTGTAGTGCTTGTCAGATCATGAAGCTCATGCTGTTTAGCTCACTTAGCATGCTTTATCGCAAATCCTGTGGTCAAACATGATTAATTATTTTAAAAATTATGTTGCTCACAAATGCTCAGACAAGAATAGTAGAACAATGCCAAATTTAATTTGCTTATTCCTATGTTACATGCTGCAAAATCACTAATATAAAAACCACCAGTACACATACATTGTAATCATAAAATCACCGAATTTTCCATTCTACTTTTTGTACTACTTTTTCCTTTTATTAATTTCTCTCTCTCTCTTTCCCTCCATTCTTTATTAGTCTACTCTTGTAGGAGGTGGTTGTGGTTCTCCTTCAAAATATTCCAAGCAATCACTGATTACCAATAGTTTGGAAGAATGTGATACAGATGATGATCAGGATATTAACGTGTATCTAATCAACAACAATGGATTCATTGTACAAAAGGTGCTAATTAATTAGAATGAACAATTTATTGATGTATGACATTACATGTATGCTTTGTATTCCACTATTGCACGTGTAGAAAAATTGATGCATGTTGTTTGTAGCCATTTGACATTGTTATGGTCTGTGGTTAAAATTTGAAAAGTTAAAAATTGTGATGAAAGCTTGTGATCAAAATTGTACGAAATTTTTGGCCAAAAATTGTTGACCGTCTAAAATTTTTTTAAACATGTTTCTCCACTTCTTGAAATTATACCACATAGCCAGAAAGTTTCGTGGCAA